AAAGATTCCACAGTGGCGCAACTAGTGTTACTAGACTAGAAGGAGGGAAAAGGTGTGTACATTGAAAGATTTCACAGTGGCGCAACTAGTGTTACTAGACTAGAAGGAGGGAAAAGGTGTGTACATTGAAAGATTCCACAGTGGCGCAACTAGTGTTACTAGACTAGAAGGAGGGAAAAGGTGTATACATTGAAAACTGAGACAGAAGAGCAATTAGTGTAAGAAACAACATCATTACAATCTAAAAACTTTGAGAATACTTGAGAGAAATTATCACAGATGTCTAACTCTATACCACTGACCTGATAAAGTAGGAGTCGCTTAAATAGTATCCAAGAATGATGGATGGACACCCACACCGACTTTTCTCCATTCCGGTTTATCGTTTGTGTAGAGACGGACAGTCTGTCATATTGAGACTAATGACGGGGCACCATAGACTTCATCAACTCATTTATTGTCGGCGTCGGAAACACGGTAATGAATGCCTCAGTCTTGGCACAGTACAATGTTGAGTGTAGTGCCTCAGTCTTGGCACAGTACAACGTTGAGTGTAGTGCCTCAGTCTTGGCACAGTACAACGTTGAGTGTAGTGCCTCAGTCTTGGCACAGTACAACGTTGAGTGTAGTGCCTCAGTCTTGGCACAGTACAACGTTGAGTGTAGTGCCTCAGTCTTGGCACAGTACAACGTTGAGTGTAGTGCCTCAGTCTTGGCACAGTACAACGTTGAGTGTAGTGCCTCAGTCTTGGCACAGTACAAGGTTGAGTGCAGTGCCCCAGTCTTGGCACAGTACACTGCTGAGTGCAGTGCCTCAGTCTTGGCACAGTACAACGTTGAGTGCAGTGCCTCAGTCTTGGCACAGTACAACGTTGAGTGCAGTGCCTCAGTCTTGGCACAGTACAAGGTTGAGTGTAGTGCCTCAGTCTTGGCACAGTACAAGGTTGAGTGCAGTGCCTCAGTCTTGGCACAGTACACTGCTGAGTGCAGTGCCTCAGTCTTGGCACAGTACAACGTTGAGTGCAGTGCCTCAGTCTTGGCACAGTACAATGTTGAGTGTAGTGCCTCAGTCTTGGCACAGTACACTGCTGAGTGCAGTGCCTCAGTCTTGGCACAGTACAATGTTGAGTGCAGTGCCTTAGTCTTGGCACAGTACAATGTGCTGAGTGCAGTGCCTCAGTCTTGGCACATTACAATGTTGAGTGCAGTACCTCAGTCTTGGCACAGTACAAAGTTGAGTGCAGTGCCTCAATCTTGGCACAGTACAATGCTGAGTGCATTGCCTCAGTCTTGGCACAGTACAATGCTGAGTGCAGTGCCTCAGTCTTGGCACAGTACAATGCTAAGTGCGTACTTTAACACTTCAGATTGTAGTCTGCTAACAGCGTTGCCATTTGGCCTGTTCGCACCCCAGTCAAGGCAAAGCCACATGACATACGGAGAGATTTGGACTGGGCGATAGCTTTCATTAGTAGTCACAGAGGGAGGTTTAAACTATACGATAGCTTTCATTAGTAGTCACAGAGGGAGGTTTCAACTGTACAATAGCTTTCGTTAGTAGTCCTAGAGGGAGGTTTAAACTATACGATATCTTTTACTAGTAGTCACACAGGGAGGTTTAAACTATACGACACCTTTCATTAGTAGTCACAGAGGGAGGTTTAAACTATACGATAGCTTTCATTAGTAGTCCCACGGGGAGGTTTAAACTATACGATATCTTTCATTAGTAGTAACACAGGGAGGTTTAAACTATACGATAACTTTCGTTAGTAGTCACACAGGGATGTTTAAACTTTTTCGATAGCTTTCATTAGTAGCTACACAGAGAGGTTTAAACTATACAATCGCTTTCATGAGTAGTCACACAAGGAGGTTTAAACTAAACGATATCTTTCATTAGTAGTCACACAAGGAGGTTTAAACTAAACGATAGCTTTCATTAGTAGTTACACAGGGAGGTTTACACTATACAATAGCTTTCACGAGTAGTCACAGAGGGAGGTTTAAACTATACGATAGCTTTCATTAGTAGTCACAGAGGGAGGTTCAAACTATACAATAGCTTTCATTAGTAGTCACAGAGGGAGGTTTAAACTATACGATAGCTTTCATGAGTAGTCACAGAGGGAGGTTTAAACTATACAATAGCTTTCATGTGTAGTCACACAGGGAGGTTTAAACTATACGATAGCTTTCATTAGTAGTCACAGAGGGAGGTTTAAACTATACAATAGCTTTCATGAGTAGTCACAGAGGGAGGTTTAAACTATACGATAGCTTTCATGAGTAGTCACAGAGGGAGGTTTACACTATACAATAGCTTTCATGAGTAGTCACAGAGGGGGTTTAAACTATACGATAGCTTTCATTAGTAGTCACAGAGGGAGGTTTAAACTATACGATAGCTTTCATTAGTAGTCACACAGGGAGGTTTAAACTATACGATAGCTTTCGTTAGTAGCTACACAGAGAGGTTTAAACTATACGATAGCTTTCATTAGTAGTCACACAGGGAGGTTAAACTAAACGATAGCTTTCATGAGTAGTCACACAGAGAGGTTTAAACTATACAATAGCTTTCATGAGTAGTCACACAAGGAGGTTTTAACTAAACGATAGCTTTCATGAGTGGTCACACAGGGAGATTTGAGTTCACGATAGATTTCTTTAATGCTACTGCCCTTCTGAATTCAGATTTCTCACAGAATGATCGAATAAGAAGACAGTATGATTTTATTCTTGATATATTAAAATATGTGTAAATCACAAAGATTGATATTGAAAATACTCACGTCCAGCAACAAAAAAGTAGAAGGTGAACGGACAATGTCAGTGCTGACTGTTGGTGGTTCGGACACGAGCATTAGTGATCGTGGAAATGTGTTGTCTGAGAAGGGGATGACCAAAGTCATATGATCAGGATTGAGTTGAAACTAGCAATGAATTACATACAAATACACGAAATAAAACAGTTTGCTCACTTAGAGAGAATGCCTTGCGAAGCTATAGCATGGAAGGCATACGCCAAAAGAGAAGAGCAAAACAGAGCTTAGGGTATATCACGATCAAAGGGGAAAGATAGCATCAAAGAAAAGACTTTCCTACGAGTATCTGTGGTTAGGCCTTGCGCTCGCGCTTCGAAGTACCTGAATATCAGGTTAGATTAAGCTTCAGTGGATTTAGCTGCAGAGCACTCTGAGTTGTTTTCCAATGATGTGGAGTTTCAATCGTTGATTACCCACAATACTACTGAATGTAACTTGCCTAGTAAAACCAGCAACACCTAGCAATTCGGTTCTGCAACCTCCTGTAATGATTGGGCAGTTATAGCTTGAATAGTGTGTTCATAATGCTTGTTAACTGGTTCATAAGAAGTAAACGATCTGCGTCAATGACTGTGTGTGTGTGTGTGAATATGTGTGTGTGTGTATATATAAGGGTACACAAATAATTAACAAATATCAAATAAAACAGCAGCACCTGTACTGTTGTAAAGGATGACGTCATAATGACATAGAAGTTCTAAGTCCGCTTGCAAAACTTCGTGTTGATCCATACAAGGGTTTTCGATATCATTGTTAAAGTTTGAGGGTACGATTTCTGAAATGAACTGTAGCTACAGACACCATATGATCCAGGAGGCCAAATGAAACTAATTAGAACGAATGGGCTAACGATCTCTACAGCAAAATGATCTATTCGTATCTTTCAACTGTTTATCAAATCCTGACGCTCTTGTAACTTTTAACCCCTCTTCACATTCACTTTTAAAAGCGTGTTATCGACATCAAGTCACTGTATTGTTGAAGAATGTTACTGAATGGTAGAAAAAAAACGGGGCGGTACTCCTCGAAAGAACTTGGTAATGACTGGCAAGAGTGATGGGTGGGAAGAGGGCTCGGGGAAGGCTGAGACACAAATGTCTGGATTTCCAAGCGGATGGCGAGACGTGACAGACTCTGACCAGACTCGTGATTCTGGTCAGTGTGTGGGATGGCGAGACGTGACAGACACTGACCAGACTCGTGATTCTGGTCAGTGTGTGGGATGAGGAGACGTGACAGCAAAATGATGTTGTTTAAAGACGAAAGCAGTGCTCCACTGCACGGCGAATTACCCTAAATAACTGGAAATTTCCATTGAATTATAACACACCCAAACTATTCATACAATCAGCCAATCAATAAAAATAAAAATAAAATAATTACTAGTATGTGATAGGTTAAAACTATTAGTTAAATCATTCGTTGCTTATCGGGCAAATCCATTTCCAATATCTCTGTCACTGGCTGGTGACTGAAAACAACAGTTCTGAACTGGTTTACTATTCTTCTTTGGTCACCTGTTTTGACATGAGGGGTCTTGTATCTTGTCAAAGTTGCCTATTCAACGGCGTCTCCTCTATCACCTAGTCGTCCTGCCTTCCTGTGAGCAGTGAAAACATTGGCGGGTGCATGACTTTTCCTGTACCTACCGTGGCAGTACCAGCACGTCAGTCTGCTCGTTCATTCCCTCTTACACCAGAGATCAAATTACAGTTTCAACGAAGTGAAGAATGTGGACTGGACATTAGTAGCTGGATGTTTACCCGTCTCCCAGCGCACCCACACATCGGTACTGATGCCTGTTGTCTATTCCCCCATTTCCTATCAGCTGTCTGCCGATCAAACACTCATTTATCAGTATATCCCCTCCCCTTCAGGTCGACCATCTTACCCAATATCCTTGCATGTAGCTTATTACCTGTCATTGACACCAAATACTTTACCTTCCTAACTATTTGTCTATCGGTATGTAAGTGAAAACAGACAAATGGATTGACAAACAAGTGCACATAACCACTCTCTCTCTCTCTCTCTCTCTCTCTCTCTCTCTCTCTCTCTCTCTCTCTCTCTTATATATATATTTATAATGAGACAGGGAGAGAGACCATGTGTGTGTGTGTGTGTGTGTGTTAGAGTAACAGAGAGAGAATAACAATTTTTATTTATTTTGAAGCAAGAGTAACGCAGACCCACATGGCCAAGAACGAACGGAACAACAGCCACCCACTCGTTGGGGAAGATGAAAGTAAAGATGCTGCAGAGTAAGTCCTCTCAATGCCAAGCTCTTTTGTGTGTGTGTGTGTGTGTGTGTGTGTGTGTGTGTGTGTGTTTGTGTGTGTGTGTTGGGCAATTCTTAAATTTTATACCCAAACATCTGTATAAGCAGCTTATCTACATACATACTTATCTAGGAGCACACACAAACACACTAATGCAATGGTGAGTCAGAGTTTGTCCTGTTGTGAAAAGCACACTTGGATTTGGGAACATCTCAAACGAACACAAGAGTTGTTTTTCGGAGTTTAGCTTGGTTGCTTCCCGTAGGAAGGAATCTCCCCCACCCCTTCACTCCTACCGAATCATGACACAACCAAAACGTGAAGAAGAAATGCATTGTATAGTATTCGTAAAAGCATTTGAGTTGGCTGGCTGGTTGGTCACTTTGTTGTTTGCCTGACTGGCCAGTGTTGGCTTTGTTGTTTGCCTGACTGGCTGGTTGGTCACTTTGTTGTTTGCCTGACTGGCTGGTTGGTCACTTTGTTGTTTGCCTGACTGGCTGGTTTGTCACTTTGTTGTTTGTCTGACTGGCTGATTGTCACTTTGTTGTTTGCCTAACTGCCTGGTTGGTCACTATGTTGTTTGCCTGACTGGCTGGTTGGTCACTTTGTTGTTTGTCTGACTGGCTGGTTGGTCACTTTGTTGTTTGTCTGACTGGCTGGTTGGTCACTTTGTTGTTTGTCTGACTGGCTGGTTGGTCACTTTGTTGTTTGTCTGACTGGCTGGTTGGTAACTTTGGTGTTTGCCTGACTGGCTAGTGTTGGCTTTGTTGTTTGCCTGACTGGCTGGTTGGTCACTTTGTTGTTTGCCTAACTGCCTGGTTGGTCACTATGTTGTTTGCCTGACTGGCTGGTTGGTCACTTTGTTGTTTGTATGACTGGCTGGTTTGTCACTTTGTTGTTTGTCTGACTGGCTGATTGTCACTTTGTTGTTTGCCTAACTGCCTGGTTGGTCACTATGTTGTTTGCCTGACTGGCTAGTGGTCACTTTGTTGTTTGCCTGACTGGCTAGTGGTCACTTTGTTGTTTGTCTGACTGGCTGGTTTGTCACTTTGTTGTTTGTCTGACTGGCTGATTGTCACTTTGTTGTTTGCCTAACTGCCTGGTTGGTCACTTTGTTGTTTGCCTGACTGGCTAGTGGTCACTTTGTTGTTTGCCTGACTGGCTAGTGGTCACTTTGTTGTTTGTCTGACTGGCTGGTTGGTTACTTTGTTGTTTGTCTGACTGGCTGGTTGGTCACTTTGTTGTTTGTCTGACTGGCTGGTTGGTAACTTTGGTGTTTGCCTGACTGGCTTTTATTAATATTTACAGGTAAATATATTTTATATTGTCACGATGTGTTTAATTAAAAGTGGTAAGAATCTTTTAGCTTCTTGTTTCGAATGCCATTTATGCTATTAGCAATTATAGAACTCGTCAAGAAGTACTATTTGCGGACGACCAAGCACTAATTGCAACTTCGGAAACTGAGTTGCATTACCATAACCATTACTTAAACCAAATCTACATAATGTGAAAAATACTGGGGGGGGGGGGGGGACAATGGTCTTGACTATCGCCAAAGTAAAAAAAACAATAAATATCCCACTGACAGAAACCCCCTGAAACAAACCAAGATTTCCATATACTCGGGAAGTATAAGTTCATCAGCTGGCAAAACAGGTGAGGCCGATGACAGATGTAACAAAACAAACCAACTCAGTGGGAAAATGGCACCACTACCTAGAAACAAACTTCTTTCAATAGAGACAAAACAAGCACTCTATGATACAACCTTCTTGCCAACCATGTGTTATAAATGCAAAACCTGGACAATGATAGAAAAAAAAGAGAAAAGAAAACTTACAACAACCGAAATGAGATTCCTGCGAAGGGCTGTCAATCTAACAATACGATTTACGATCAGAAACGAAGAAATATGAAAAACAATTGAAGTTACAGCAGCTGTGGATTTCGTTAGAGGGCAACAAGTGAAATGGTTTGGCCATGTAAGGCGAACGTCAGCAGACGATACCACAGAAAGCCATTACGTACAGACCAGGCGGGAAACGCAGAAGAGGTCGAGCACGCAACCGATGGACAGAGGGAGTTACAGAGTCCGTGGGAATCTCAATTTACGAAGTACACAAACTGGCTTCTTCTCGTCAATTATACACCGCAGGGTACAAGAGGATCAAGATGAGATAAGATGCGAACCCATTTCGGTAACCACGGTCAGTCAGCTATAACAGGACACACGATCCTAGCTTCTTATATAAGTTACATAAGGAGAGAGTTTAAACTGGCACCTGTCCGTCTCTCCAAAGAACAGTCTTTAGTATCCTATAGGGAGACACTAGAATCACAATCATTGGCCGTAGCCAGCGCGGTTAGCAGGCCACTCGATTTAAACAAAACAAGAAAGAGGTCTGGGCAGTCTTGTAAAGATCACATGTTGCAAGGTCTGGGCAGTCTTGTAAAGATCACATGTTGCAAGGTCTGGGCAGTCTTGTAGAGATCACATGTTGCAAGGTCTGGGCAGTCTTGTAAAGATCACATGTTGCAAGGTCTGGGCAGTCTTGTAGAGATCACATGTTGCAAGGTCTGGGCAGTCTTGTAAAGATCACATGTTGCAAGGTCTGGGCAGTCTTGTAAAGATCACATGTTGCAAGGTCTGGGCAGGCTTGTAAAGATCACTTGTTGCAAGGTCTGGGCAGTCTTGTAAAGATCACATGTTGCAAGGTCTGGGCAGTCTTGTAAAGAACACATGTTGCCCGTGCAACACCACCAACTAGGTATACGTTGTTTCCTCTAGAGGACAGGTAACACACAAAAAACGTTGAACAAAGAATTCTACAGAAGCTGCTTCATCCAAAAAAGCAATGTTCTGTCTGTCCGCCTCTCAGGGCTTTCCTATATAAACCAGCTGCCAACCAAGTCTAGCGGCCTTATCTGCCCTGCCATAACACTGGGATTTTGTTTATCCAGTTTCTTATCGTTATCCTAGGATAAGGCAATCAACAAGCCCCCCTCAACTCTCCCATCCATCACGCCATCTTCCGAATGGGCACCTCCAGCCGACGTTGGGGGTTGTGAGGTTTGTTTTACGGATCGTGAAACGTGTCACGGGAACACTTAGCACTTACATCAAGACGTGGACATGTGAGGGACAGAACCACTTGGCGTGAGTTGGCTCAGGACCTATGCTCCATTGGGTGATAGAAGGCAAAAGAAGAAAAAAGATTGATTCAGTTAATTATTTGACTGATAAACCGATTGAATGACCCGCTTATTTATTGATGTACGATAGATTGGTCACTATTTGCACTCTTATATTTCTACAGGATGTACACCCTGGACACCCTGTTCCAACAACTCGGTGGATGTGGGCGATTTCAAGTTATTTTTGTTGCCATGGGATACTTTCCTCTTCTACCAGCCACCTGGGGACTCGTGTTTATGATCTTTGGCAACTACAACCCCGGGTTGGAATGTGGCCATAGCTCACTTGGCAACCTCACATCTGTATTTGAATACAGCAACAACTCTACGGAACATCGTGAAAGCAACGTCAGAGGGTACACAGAAATACCGTGTAATTGTGACTCCATCAAAACCTATAAAGACTGGACTTTCAACCAAGCAGCTTCTACAGTAGTTACCGAATGGAGTTTGATCTGTGATGACGCGTGGAAGAGCTCCACTATCATATCTGTCCAGATGGTTGGGGTCTTCATTGGAGCCTGTGCAGGAGGACAGATCGGAGACAAATTTGGTAGGAAAGTCAGCGTTCATGGCGGTGCAGCAATGCTTATTGTGACTAACATCATAGCCATATTTTCTGTTTCCTGGGCAATGTACGCTGTTGTTAGATTCTTTATAGGCTTGGCTGTTGGATCGATGCTGTCAACTAACGCTGTTTACTGTATGGAGTTTGTGCCCGCCTGGTGGAGAGGGTTTATTGGAACCTTTCCCTTTTGGACCTTTTCCACGTTTTCTTATGGTTTATGCGTGATGGCGTTGAAGAACTGGAAGCATGTTCACATAGCTACTGCTTTTGTTGCCATGTTGGCTTTCCTGCCCGTGATCTGGCTTCCAGAAAGTATGCGGTTTCTAGCAGTTCATGGGCATGTGAAACAGGCAAACAAAGTTGTCAAGAAAATTGCCAGGTTAAACAAGAAACCGTTACCGGATACGTCCATCGTGACAAAAATTGCAGAAGTAGAGAAAGAGTCTTTGAAGGAAAGATCTAGTTACACATACCTTCATCTCTTCCATAGAAGCATCCGCAAATATACCATTGTTCTGGGAATGACTTGGTTTATCCTGTCCGTCTCAAATAATACTATAGGATTTGGACTAAAAGCTTTCTCTGGGGATTTCTTTATAAATCTTGTCATATTTCTGGTCTTACCTTTTCCAGCGAGATTATTTCTTGTATTGATTACAACGAAAGTTGGCAGAAAGATGGCGGTTGCTTCGACGATGTGTCTGTCCTTTATCTGCTCGTTTGTTGTAGTTGGCATACAGTTGCTGGCACCGGAAGAGACTAGGGGACTGGCAACAACCGGCCTGGCCTTTGTAGCCAACATGATTATGGAAGCAGGATGGGGCGCCTCTGTTGTGTTGATTGTTGAACTCTTCCCTACGGGAGTCAGAAACATGGCGTATGCATTCTGCAATGGTCTGGCGAGAATTGGATCAATGATCTCACCGTTTCTGATTCCCAAACAGTCGCTGCCCATGTGGGGGTTGTTCCTCCTTATTGGGACGCTTCTGCTGTTGTGTTTTATCTCCATCCTGACACTGCCGGAGTCAAAAGAAAGACCACTCCAGGAAAATCTACAGAGGAAAGCAAAAAAGGAGAATTCGGAAATAGCCAGCAGTATGTAAACATATAAAAAATAAACATAAACATACTGCATGCCTCAAAGATCTTAAATTCATCTCATGATTTTGAGAACATGTCTTGGTCGTTAAGAATATCAATTTTCCTAGTCCGTTAATCGCATTATCTAAGATTATTCTTTTCCTTGAATTATTTCTGATACGATGATATGCCCACTTGCAATTTCTTTGCTATTTTGTTTTCATTTATGTGCATTTCATCAGCACGTGATATCCGGTTCGACAGACAAGCTGAGCTTTGGACAAAACTGATCAACAACTAAAGGAACGGGTTGCTAAATATATTTCACTATTGCTGGTAAAAGTAGTGCAAAACACTAACAATTCAGCAACAGTGAATCATGTGATTGGTCGAAAAAAATTCCGTTGTGTGCCATATTCTGAATTCTGGGCAAATTGTAGGCAAGGAAGATGCATGTCGAATTATTTACACTTCAGCAAACCGTGACTTTTTTAATTTGTGGAAGCGACCTCTATAAACCGGTTTTGACCAGAATTATGCAGACAAAAGTACAGGCTCTTCACCTTGCGGTTAACCTGAGGAAACAAACAATTTGTTAACAATTTGTCAATTCTGTGTTTCAGTTGGAAGGATTTCTTTATTTGCTTCATTTTAATCAATTTTTTTACTGTAGCATGCACCTGACGAGATGCAGTGAAATATGCCAGGCAATAAATTGTGCAGTCTATTGTTTATGTCTGCTTTGTTCAAATTCACAACGGGGAAACATTGCTTTACTTTTTGGTATATCTGGCTTACCTACCTTTATTTCTGTGCCGTTCTGACTACTGAACATTGTCATATTCTTGTGGCAAACTTTGAAAAGTGTGTGTGTGTGTGTGTGTTTTTTTTTTTTTTTTAACGTTCAAGTAAGGTATGAAAAGAAACCGTGTATCACCGCTTCAAGATATTTTGCTCCGAGTGTAGAATCCGAGCACATTTCTAAAAGTTCCACCTGCAGGTTTTTTCTGTCTTAGCGAAATCAGAGGTAAATTGTGCTGAGAATAAATTCCAAGAAGTGTTCAAAAGAGGAGAAATCACAAACTCGTTTCTGAAATTCATTTCACAACAATTTCATGGTGACCGCATTACTTAGCGAAACTAGATACGAATGTAGTACAGGCAGTGTTTTGCTGTTATTTAAATTAGGTAAAGTATTTGACATCTGTGACTTCCAAAAGCTTAGTTAAGTTATGAAGCAATTAATTTCATCATAAAATTGAGTGGTAAGTAGGACAGAACATCGGTAACGTAAAAAAGAACATATTGCAGCAACTACCTGATGGCCAAGAGAACTTTCGCGGGGTCAGTGGCTAAGGCGTTGCCAGTCCCACTGGTAATTCCAATGTACCGCGATTGAAACACACTGCTGGCTGCGTGGATTTTATTTTCATGGTATAGGGCGTCGCAGGTCGACCTAGCTTAAAATGGGTACCAGGATGGCTGTCCTGTGGAAGTAAAGACGGCCGGCGTAATGCTGACCACATTACCCAACCAGTGCCGATTGGTCTGTAAAAATATGGAACGCTGTTCCCATATGCCCGATGCACCTAAGGCGTGAAAACGGATCTTTACTTTTTTTTTTCTTTTTTTAAGAGCACGGTCAACTAATATCGTTAAACGACCTGGTGGCCAGACTAAACACATTTTCCATTTTTAACTCTCTGAACACAAACTGTACTGATGAAAATGTACAACTCATGAATGCGAGTGCGAGTTTTCTATATTTGCTCGTAACACTGCAGCAAGACCATAATGTCTGCCAGCCTTGTTCATAGGACCGTCTGTAGACAAGCACCCAAGGTTACTCGCCAACCTTGTTCATAGGACCGTCTGTAGACAAGCACCCAAGGTTACTTGCCAACCTGCCTCGATTCGCAAGGGATGAAGACAACCCTTGCCTTCATCTGTCATAAAACTGAAGTTGATTGTCCGTGAGTTGAGTTGAGTCAGGAATTTACATCACAGCACTCGGGGCATTTCCATGTGTGCTCCATCCTCATCTTCAGCAGCCAGGACAGGTCCAATACTGGTGTTAGATTGTCCGTGAGTCCTGAGGTGACTTATACCCCAGTACGGTCCCAGGGGATCTAGGCTTAAGGATATGGGAAAGTGTCTGTAGATAAAAACCTGTTATACGGGTCTGTCTAGCCTGTCTTGGCTGTTCAGCTGTTCTTGTTTCTAGATGCCTCGCGAGTCGCTGCGCCTCTTCCAATAGACGTTTGCAACGACGTAGTCCTGTCGTGTGCAGCAGCGCCCCAAGTGTCAGGGTTTGAATCGAAGGCTTTCAGTGATACTTTTAGCCTGTCCGTCCTTAAAGTTTTTTTTTTAATTTTCTGGTCAACATGAGAGTGTATATATGTATATATATATCAAATTCAAAATTTTTGTCATTAGGAGGAACAAGGACACTTTAATTCCTTTTTTTTTTTTTTTTTTTACTTTTTTTTTTAAAGCAAACTTACCACAAACAGTCACAATTATATTATTCGTTTTAACTAACTCTTCTCCGTGACTTTTTTTAATCTATATAAAATATTCAGCCATGTCATAACGACATATACGTCTTAATGTTGAACTATAGTTTGTTCAACAATTGATAAACTCAAATGTAAGCCATTTTCTAGAAAATTTGTAAAGACCAAACGCCAATCGTGTTTTTTTTGTTTCTCTGATGAATGAAATGAATCTATCAATATAAATGACCCATCTGAGATTCCCCGAGCAAGTGCTGGTACAGAAAAAACAGTAACCTTCTGCATAGTTATAAATTTGCATCTCAAATTCATTTTGATATTGAAGAATGTGTCAGTTTTTATAAGCTAGCTATATGACACAATAACTCAGCACTCATTTGTGGACGCGCATTTGTCTAAGCAATTTTGAACGACGTCTTATCTAATATATCCTAGCTGCGGGCCATGCGCCTTGCGTTGGTTTCGACAGTGGTATCATGAAAGCCGACCGTCCAGGAAGCAATGGCAAACTACTGGACGTAAATTTGCCTAGAAAAACCACACAACAGCCAGGGGCTTTTGGGGTTGGTTCTGCAACGTCCTGTTAAGGATACGAAACTAACCTTATCTAATATATCTAATATAAAACTACATATGATATTCCTCTTTTGTGAAACAAATATTTCCTTAACGTCATGTATATTTTAAGGCTGCATGCACACAAAAAATCATTGATATCTAACAGACAATTTTCGAGAAAGTGTGTTGATCAATTGTTGAACGAAATATTTTAAGGCTGCATGCAAAAAAAATCATTGATATCTAACAGACAATTTTCGAGAAAGTGTGTTGATCAATTGTTGAACGAAATATTTTAAGGCTGCATGCAAAAAAAAATCATTGATATCTAACAGACAGTTTTCGAGAAAGTGTGTTGATCAATTGTTGAACGAAATATTATCACTGTCTACGGCAAGATAAGTCAACTCTTTCCCTATTCGGGACAGGATAAGTCAACTATTCCATTGTTTGCGACAGAAACGGTCAACTATTCCACTGTTTGGCACAAGATAAGTCAACTCTTACACTCTTTGGGACAGGCAATCTAAACATTTCTACTGTCTGCGACTGGACAAACCACATCTCAACAGACGTCAGAAAAACATTGGGGGTCGATAAGACCAAGATTAATGATCGGATAACTTCTAGTGAACTTTAATTTTGTTCAGATTCTCAGGGTTATCGTTTTTTTTTTTTTTTTAATATCAATTGTGATCATCTTGTAAGTACAATGTGTCTTGGCGGATGATGTAAGCTGGTATATCTGTTTCTCTCTCTCTCTCTCTCTCTCTCTCTCTCTCTCTCTCTCTCTCTCTCACACACACACACACACACACACACTCTATTTCACTGTTTGTGTGTCTCTCCCCCTCTGTCCCTCTGTGTGTCTCTTAAGTTCTGGATGCAGTTCTCCAAATGTATCGGAGAATGAGAATGACAAATGTGACGAGGTAGTCAAAGTTGTTGCTGATAGCTTGAGTTAACTTCTTGTATAAACGAATGAGAGCTGTGATACAACCTGACAGATGTGAACACGAACGCGAGATAGACTCACATTATTTTAACAAAGGTCAACTTTTTTTCCCCCCAATGTAGATTTAATGCATCTGTGTGTGTGTGCCCGTGGGTCTATGTGTGAGGATGTGTGTGTATTTACATCACATAAAAATCAACTGAGGACGAAGACGATAAAGACGAAGAACAAGAAGTACAAAAAAGGTGACAGATATAGGACACCCATACACATAGGCCAACAGGTTATTTCTTAACGGTTGGATGGGCCCAACCGTTAAACAGGGATGGGCCCAACCGTTAAGCAGGGATGGGCCCAACCGTTAAACAGGGATGGGCCCAACCGTTAAACAGGGTCTCTAGGGTAAGCTCCTGTTTGATTCTATCTGAACTATAGCTCATTCAGTCGCTGGTTGTCATCTCCACATGGGTACCCGGGTTATGCTTTCGAGGGGGGGGGGGTAGAGGGCGGGGATGAAAATATACCCAAGTATGACGTAGAAGATTACTAATTAAAGATATTATGAAATTAGATGTGCTGGGCCAAGCAGTGCAGATATCACAGCCTAGCTGAAGATCACAGCATAGAAGAAACTGAGTGCCCGTCTGTCAAACAGAAAACCAAGAAGAGGTAGCTAGGTAGCTGAGCAATACTTTTTCTAAATCCCTTTATGTCTATTTGGGCATATAGGGCTAGACCTTTAATATATAAACTAATCGACACTGGTTGGGTGGTGTGGTCAGCATCACGTCGGCCGCCATTACCTCCCAAGACTATACCTGGTACTTACTCACTGCTGGGTCTACGTGGAAGCTAGGGTCTGGCTCTCTCCGGACCTGGAACGTCGAGGAAACCAGTCTGGATACAAATAAAACAGATGCGTAAAACGGATGTGCACGTAAAACTCAAGTTCTGGAACAAAACTAAAGTCCATAAGTGGACGAACAACCAGGAC